ATAAAAACAAATACATAGGCACTCAATCAAGACAACAGACCTTCTAATTATACAGAGAAAATGTTACAAACAAACATTACAAAGAAATTATCAATACATGTTTTCAAATTTTTATAATAAATAGACAACCATAAAAGTTTTAAAATGAATATTGAAATAAATAGTTAAATTGTTGTGAAATTTTTTTGAAAGTAAATACCACTTTATAATAAATAGACAATCATAAAATTTTTAAAGTGAATATTGAAAAAAAAGTTAAAAGTGTTGTGAAAAATTATGAAAGTAAATACTACTTTGAGTTAAAATAAATTAAACTTTTTTGTAATGTTAGATTAAATATTTTAAAATACAATTATATTATTAGTTTATTTATTCGTCTGTCCATAGCGCGAACCAATCTTAGAATGTATATGATCCGCTAAAAACAAATTAACTCATTATACCAAACATTCACTAAAAATTTAAACATAAACACATTAGTAGCCGCACTAATCATTCAAAAACTGTCAGAGAACAGAACAAAAAAACGATCCAATACAATTGCAAACAAATATCAAGATATATTAAATCCCGCCCGTAGGGCGGGCCAACCCTAGTTTGTAATATAGTTAAGTTTTAGTTGGCAAATCTAACGAAAGATGAGAAATGAGTTAGAGAAAGTGTCTGAGTAGAAAGAAGTGACTCTTAGTAAGTGTAAAAGTGACTCTCAATGTAAATTTCTCTTGAAAAAATCTAACAAGATCTTATCAAAAATTTAAATATTTTTTTATAAAATAAGTATTTATTTATTTACTTATTAGATATAATTATAATTAAAACTAAAATATAAAACCTCTATTTAAAATTTTTAGTTATATATTTATAAAATGAAAAATATACCTGTATGAATGTGCGGGTGAAACTCTAGTTTATATTTACATAAATAGTTAAACATGAGCATTCAAGTCATGATGTGATACATATTGTCTTTTTTTGTATCAACTTTTTTTATTTTAAAATTAAATTATGTTTAGATTTTATAAATTTTTAGACGGATTCTTTCAGATCCAGATGAATTTGTAAAAACCTAAAAATATCTAAATATCTTATATTTATTTGTTTTATAAAGTCACTAAACACTTTATAAAAATATAAAAACTAATCTTGTGTAGATCAAGTTCTAGTTATAAATTTATAAAAGTTCTGCAGTATATAAGTTTTAGTAATTTGCTAAATAACAATAAACACATTCTCCCTCCAGTTTTATCTTCCTATCTCTCTCTCTCTCTACAAAACCAATTTCTCATTTTTCTTTGGTTAGTACACAAATAATTTCTATTTGCAATCCGGAATCAAAATTAGAAATATCTCCTTAAAAAGGGGAATTCATTGAGAGATATTTTGATTTTTAAAATCAAAATCAGTCGACACTTGGGATTCCCTCTCGCGCCCTTCTCTCCTCATCATCTTCCCAACGTCTCCACTCTTTCATCCCTCCGTCTCTCTCGTTCTATTTCACAGTAATGGAGGAAGCGGACGAAACGGAAACCGAATCGCAGGTATCTCCGATCATATTATCTGATCTCCCTGCTCGTCTCTCCTGAGAATACGGATGTTAATGTCGCTGTGATCCAAGTACGAAAGTGTTGATTTCTAGCTTCGCCAATTTACGATTTCGAAGATTCAAAATCTGTTCCGGAATCGGTTTAGATCGATCTCGATTGTAAATAGCTTGACGAAACCCTAGTCTTACCTGTTTGAAAACTAGATTAGCCTAATCGGAACTAGTGGGGACTCTAATTGCTGCGTCGAGTTGATCGCCTAACTTCGAGGGATCTGTGCAGTCGAGAAGTTTGCAGATCATCAGAATTATTCATACTTACACTTTTTGCTTATTTCAATTGCAATGGCAGGTTTATATGGCTTGTATTCAGCACGGTCGTCGGTTAGTAATTTAACTTCACATTCTTGTTTGAGATGGATATATTGTGAAGAGACTTAAGAATTTGTCAGTTACATTTGAGTGAATGCTTATGTAATTCAGTGGATTCTTTTGTTTGCTTGTTATTAAACGGAGACACTCATATTTAGCTTATAAAATCTGTTTTTTTTTTTTTTTTCAGAGTTGGAGTTTCTTACTACGACTGTAGTGTACGCCAGCTTCATGTTCTTGAAGTTTGGGAGGAAGATTGCTCTGATTTTACTCTGATCAATATGGGTATGAATTTTTATAATGCGATGGAATCTCTACATATAGTTGCCTGCATGCAATTCCATGTATTGATCTTAATGAAATGTTTTAGTCAAGTTTGCTGCTACTTTTCTGCAGTTTTTGTTCTGCTACACTTATCCTGGTCTCATTATGTATTTTTTCGCTTCACTTGTGTTGGTTGTATTTCTTCAGTCAAGTACCAAGCGAAGCCGTTGGTCATTTACACAAGCACCAAAAGTGATGACTCATTTGTATCTGCTCTGCAGCAGAGTGGTATGGCGCTATCTATTTTGCTGTGATTATATGAGCCCTAGAGTTTATGGTCTTGCATTATTTCTTTGATCTGCAGATGGAACTGACGAGGCTACCACGGTGAAGCTGGTAAAGAGCTCAACATTCAGCTACGAGCAAGCGTGGCACAGGTACAGAAAGTGTAAATCAGTTCCACCTATTTGCGGTGGTTTTAGTTAGTTAGATGACATGATGAATCCAGTAGGAAACTCGTTCTTTCAGTTCTAGTCGTAATAGCTTACTTCACACATAATACATGCTGTTTTACACTGATTGTTACCCCGATATTCTGTAGGCTGGTATATCTTCGAGTAACAGGAATGGATGAAGGGTTGAACATCAAAGAACGGGTTTGTTATGTAAGTTACGGAAAGGAAATGTTACCTTATTTTACTATGAATTCTTTTTACAGTCTAGTATATAGTTTATTGATACTTTCGATGCCACAATGAAAGCAGTTTGGCATCGTCAGTAAATTCCTCTGTATAAAGCAAAACAATGCTAGCTGTTGGTCTTCCAACTAATTTAGTAATTGGCCAACACATTCATTTATTATTGTTTGACGTTTTTCATTATCTTGTAAATTGCAGCTAAGTTCGATGATGGATGTAGGCAGTGAAGTCCAAGTTCGTGTTAGTGGAGGTCTTCTTGCTATACTAGAAAGTGAACGAATTGTAGATACTCTGGAACAAAACGAATCTGGGACTGCATCAATTGCAATTGACTCAGTCATGGAAGTTCCATTGTATCCTCCAATGCTTCTGTTCTGTTTCTTTTTGTCTTGGTGAAAATAGTTACCTAAATTATTGGGATGGTAGTGCTGCCTGAAAATCCTTGACAAATGTTTCAACAGGAACAAGTTCCTTAAACTTGATGCAGCTGCTCACGAGGCACTACAGATATTTCAAACAGATAAACACCCAAGCCATATGGGAATTGGCAGGGCAAAAGAAGGGTAAATGGCTAAATGGTTCTACTGTGGAATGTTATATGTATTTTTCTGCTTTGCCTTATGAATGATCTTCACTGATTCTTTGAAATGTAGGTTTTCGGTGTTTGGGGTGATGAATAAGGTTTGCTTTCCTTGAATTGGGTCCTTATAGCTGTTGTTGCTTGGATATATGATTTAACTTACCTGGCTTATTTCAGTGTGCCACACCAATGGGTAGACGTCTTTTAAGGTAATAAATTTGAATGATAGGTATAGAAAAACTCTCCTGCCGCTAGTGATGTGAACTGAGTATCAGTTTCATTCTGTCTATTTCAGAAGCTGGTTTATGAGGCCAATTCTAGATCTTGAAGTGCTAGACCGTCGTCTCAATGCTGTATCCTTTTTTCTTTGCCGTATGTCAAGTAGAACAGGAGTTAGCAATCAGTCAGAAAGAAGAGAAACCCATGGAAAAAAACTTGAAGTATGCTTTCTGAAGCCTTATCAGCATAAAAACCCCTATTATCATCTATCTTGAATGAGGAAAAACTGATTTCGATCACTTATGAGAAGTTTCTCTTGACTGTATGAGATTTCCTTTTTTATATCTTCTGTAGAGCTGATGACATCTTTGCGGGAGACACTGAAATCTGTGAAGGACATTTCCCATTTGCTCAAGGTAAGTAGGTATCCTTATTCAGTATATAATATATATTCGTTGCAGGATATGCCTATTTGCTTTAATCATAAGAACCTGTTTAGCAGATTCTTTAATTAGAAACTAATAACACAGAGAATATTTTCCATATAGTGTGTGGTGTATATGCTAAATTTCAATCTGTTGGCAGAATCAGTGTTCTCTTTGCATGGCATATGTGTTCTTGTATGCCAATTCTGTAGATTCCTTTTTTGTTACACATATGTTTTTGCTAAATATTCCATTCTTATGTGACAACAAGAAATTCAACTCCCCGACGTCCCTGTGTACCAATAATGATTGGACAGCTTTTATGAAGGTAGACTCTCTTGTTTCACTATACGATCAGCTTTCATATATCCTCGCACTTATTGATTGCAGGCTTTTCTTATATTATTTTCCTTCACTACACTCTCACCAGTCTTTTTCATTAGTTTTTTTAAAGTGGATTCTGTAACCAGAGCCTATGAAGTCTTGTCCCGTAGATCCTAGCTGCAATATTGATTGCATCCTACAAAAATAGTTTCCGACGATAATGCGCTTTTTTTGTGTGCATTAGAGTATAGGTGCGCTCTTGCACGTGAATAAGATACTTGAAGTTGGAGTCTCAGAAAGTCTCCGAGAGCATATGAGACGCTTCAACTTAGACATTGTTGAGAAGGTTACTAATCTTTCTTATCACGAAACAGCTTATGAAGCTTCAAATGCTATTTTCATTCGTTTATTCAGTTGCGTGCTTGTTTTGCTAAGTTATCTTGCCATGTTGCAGGCCGGCTTATGTATCAGCACAGAGCTTGATTATGTATATGAACTGGTCAGTTGATTGTTTTCTGTCTCTTTCATTCCATTATAATTCATAGTGTCTTTTTTAACAAAACATATCTTAACGTCTCTCTTTTCCTTTCCTTAGAGAATGACAACCTTTATAAAATGATTATCTTGTTTAAAAATGGGGAATGAGACCATCCATATGAAACATCTAAGAGTGACAAAAATTCTTAAAAGTATAATTCAAAGTTATTAAGAAGTTGGATACTCGTTTAAACACATTCAGCAGGCCTCTGAGTGAGAGATGCGTAGGATATGTAAAACAATCATGACTAAAATTTCAGTTATAATGGACTTACTTCCACAGGTACTTGGAGTTATTGATGTAACTAGAAGCAAAGAGAAGGGTTATCAAACATTAGTTAAAGATGGATTCTGTGCTGAGGTTATTATAGAAATTGCTTTCGTTCAGGTTGTCATATCTCTAATTTTTTCTGCAAGTAATTCATTTCTTGTTTACCAGTTGGATGAGCTAAGGCAAATATACGAGGAGTTGCCGGACTTCCTGCAAGAGGTTATTTCTATGTGATGATTTGTCTTTATTGATAACTGAAGTAAACTTTTCGTTTGGATGATTCTTTTTTCTCACAGGTTTCATCGATGGAGTTAGAACATTTGCCTCATCTGCATAAGGAGAAACTCCCTCCTTCTATCGTCTATATTCAACAAATTGGTGGGTCTGCTTCAGGATTTAGTTCTCACATTAAGTTCTTTACTGTTCGTTGTTATATACTTAAAGGTTTAGGTTTAGCTATAAATAGTTTCTAAACACATTTGCCAGTTAGGAATTATAATCATTACTAACAAAAGTGAGATACAGTTGCACAAATTAAATATTCGTGGAACCATTATTCTCTGGGATTACCAATTCCACTATGTTGACTTACGTTTCTAGATTGCTACGTAGACTTTCCATTTATGATGTCTTTAAGAAATCATGACCATGCGTCTTTATTCACACTTTGATAACAGTTCGTTCCTTTTGTAATTGAATATGTAACTTTTCCGTTGATTTATTTATTCTGCAGGGTACCTCATGTGTATTTTTGGAGAAAAACTTGATGAAACTGCACTTGATAGGCTTGCCGAATTTGAATTTGCGGTATATTGTGTTTGCGTTAAAACATGTGAAATTTATAGTTCGGATTTATATGTCAGTACGAAGCATAAATTTCTTATCTACAAATCTCTCTTGTAATCAGTTCTCTGATCTGGATGGAGAAACTCAGCGATTCTTTTATCACACTCCAAAGACAAGAGAGTTAGACAACCTTCTTGGAGATATCTACCACAAAATTTTAGGTATGTTCTTCGTGCTGGTTAGTTGTTTACATGGCACAGTGATTCTTGCGTAAGATGATGTAGTATTGTTTGAAAAAATGTTGACAGATATGGAGAGAGCAATTGTAAGGGACTTGCTATCGCACACACTTTTGTTCTCGGCACACCTGTTGAGGGCAGTTAATTTTGTTGCGGAACTTGATTGGTAATCAATATTCCAAGAGATACTGATTCCATTTCATTTTGTAGCCTCTCCTACTATAACTGATTGGTTGCTATTGAGTAATGACTATAACCATTCATTCTTCTTGGCATCTCTAGCATTTTATCCCTGGCTTGTGTAGCCCATCAGAATAACTACGTAAGACCTGTTCTTACAACGGAATCATTGCTTGATATTCGAAATGGAAGGTGAAGTGGACTCTTTTAGCTGCATTTATATCTTATTGTTGCATTTATACATCAACTCCTAACAAAAACTTGTATCCGTAAATATCTATACTGGAAGGCAGACATGTTTTGCAGGAAATGGCGGTGGATACATTTATCCCGAACGACACTGAAATCAATGATAACGGTGAGCTGATTGTTGATTAAACTTTGTTGACTATACAGACATAACTTGTGAATTAGTCTGCGTTTCCTGCCTCAGGTCGAATTCATATCATTACCGGTCCTAATTACTCAGGAAAGAGCATATTTGTGAAGCAGGTCTTGGTTCTCTTCTTCCAATGAGTGTGTATATCATCACCATGAAAGGACAACTCAACTCAGGCATTCTTTCTGGCTTGCTATTTCTAGGTGGCTTTAATTGTTTTCCTATCACATATTGGAAGCTTTGTACCAGCAGATGCTGCAACTGTTGGTTTAACTGACAGGTTAAAACGTTCTGGATTCTTCATCCTTCTAGAGTATTTTTTTTGTATGTGCATCGTTACTAAAATCACTCGTACAACATCAGGATCTTTTGTGCAATGGGAAGCAAGTTTATGACCGCAGAGCAATCTACATTTATGATAGATCTGCATCAAGTAGGAATGATGCTAAGGTATTTCTGAACTGATTTTTATTTTAAGCTACTGATAAGAACTTGTGAGCCGGTCTTAATCAGTTTTATAAGTTAGTGACTTCTTGTACATGAGCTCTGTTATTCTAAAGGTCATGGAGACCCAAGATTGCATATTTCAGTCAGAAGCCAAGATGTGCACTGTTAATGAGCCATGATCATGTTTCTAATGATTGTGATTGTCTTACATTTTCCAGGCAGGCAACTTCAAGATCTCTGTGTCTCTTAGACGAGTTTGGTAAAGGCACTCTTACAGAAGGTTTGTTTGTCCGTTTATGGACTTAGTATTCTCTCTTCTTTGCATAAAAGGCATGTGTTTTTGAATAAAAAATATTGCCTCTTTAATTAAGCTCAGATGGTATTGGCTTGCTTGGTGGAACAATTAGTCATTTTGCTTCGTGTAATGAGCCACCAAGGGTATAGCGTTCTCTTGTCTGTCTTTCCATAAAACCTTAGATGTTCTCTTGCGTCCCTCCAGTAACATGTTACATAACATGGACTATTTCTGCATGCTTCCAGGTTCTAGTATGCACCCACTTGACTGAACTACTTAACGAGAGCTGTTTGCCCGTTGTAAGTACTCCGAATCAGCATTCTCAAATCTGGAGTTTCTATTATTGCAGTAACCCTAAAGATTCCTTTTCCCCTTTTACTCCAGTCTGAGAAGATTAGATTCTATACAATGAGCGTTCTGAGGCCAGACACAGAATCTGCAAACATGGAAGAGATTGTCTTTCTTTATAGGTATGAACTCTCGACTAGCAAGCTAAACCGTCTTCATTATCAAAACTTCGCTTCACTGTGTTAAGAAAATGGTCGTGAATGCAGGTTAATACCGGGACAAACGCTGCTGAGTTACGGTGAGCGTTTTCATTCTTTGCACTATTGTCTACAAACGATAATGCAAACACCAAATGACATCAACCTATTTATGAAATGCAGGTCTACATTGTGCACTACTCGCTGGTACATTTTTATATAATCAATTAACGCAGTATCGTTGGGATCTATTTACTAATGTAGATAGATTGATTAGAGAGCAACAGTAAGGAATTTTCACTGGTTCATGATTCATAAGGTGTCCCAGAGGAAGTCGTAAAGAGAGCATCCAGCGTGTTGGACGCCTTTGAGAGTAACAACAACGTTAATAAACTTAACCTTGACAACATATCGTCTCAAGATCAAGCATTCAAGGTCTTTTTGCTTCTCTCCCACTTACATCCTATACACAAACTTAATCCTTATCTTTTCTGTCCTCACGGCTTTACCAAACTACTTACCGTACGGAATGAAACTCGCAGGATGCTGTTGACAGGTTTATGGAGTTTGACATCAGTAAAGGTGATATCTGTGCTTTCTTTCAAGACATGTTCACTTCTTAAACCGTAGCTAGATCACAGCGTAGTCTCCATGAGGTTACATGTCTTACTTACGAAAGCTAATTCCCATGAAGGCTTACATCCCTTATATATTAAAGGAGAAACCTTAAAAAAAATTGTAACCTCAATTTTGTAATAATTAAAAAAGACTCATGCTTAGGTGTCACTCAATTAGGTAGTCAATTACATTCAATTGAAAAATAAGTAGGTCCACATTCGATTTTTATATGTCGCTATATACATTTGTTGGTCAAATTATATGATATGATTGTTCACATAGATATAATTACTATTTTATTTTCTTTCCATAAATAAAACCTACGGAATTACCATAAATGACTAATATATATATATATATATATATATGACACTTAATAATTGTTCCCCTAGATATAATTACTATTTTATTTTCTTTCCATAAATAAAACCTACGGAATTACCATAAATGACTAATATATATATATATATGACACTTAATGATTATAATAATAAATATTTGAGAACAGTTTATATATCCTCCATCATTTTTCTTTAATTTTATATTATTAAAATAAATTAAACAATCAAATTAGCTATAAAATTAAACTTTAGATTTTTTCGTATAGGTTATATTTTGAATTTAAAAAAACGAGAATAAATAACTAAACTATTAAAATTATTATGTTAAAAATTAATGATCAATAGTTTAACATTTTTATTATAAAAAGATATACATGATTTTAAAACCATATAAGTAAAAAGTATCATTCAATAATAAAACAAATATATATACAGATTAAACTATATACCACATAAGATTAGATAAATATTTTAATTTCAAAATTTTCAATAAATTTTCAAGAACATTTATAAATTATAAACTTAAATTTTTCACATTGAAAATTTTTGTTATCAATGATTTAAATATCTTAGTTCTTTTTTTTAATTTTATATTTTTAAAAGATATTAACAATCGATAATATGGTTATTTTTGGTATATACCATACAAACCGAATGGATGTGATTTTATAAAAACCATAGGATTTGGATATGGTTTGATTTATAACTGATTAAACTGTAACATGTAAATATGTATATATTTATAACGACACATGAATATCTATTTGTTACATGAGTTGAACTATAATTATAATTTGTAAATATCTAACAATTTATTACAACTCAGACTTCTTATTTTGATTTTTTTGCTTTTTTAACAGTAACTAAATTGAAGTAAAGATTATAAATTTGATGGACAACAATTAGTTGAAATTCTTTACAACTTTTTTTTAATCTTTAAACAAACAGAGTTGTGTTCAATCGAAGACATATTGATTTGATAAACACTAAATATGGAAGAATATAAAAACTTTTCTTTCGAGCTTCTGTTTTTTTTTTTTTTTCAAAATTTAGTGTTTTGATATTAATTATGGATTTGATCATTTTATTAGATGATAGAAGTCTTTTTTTATTCTTTTATTTAAATATATAATATTTTTTAATAAATGACTCTGTGACAATATGACTCTAAATATGATCATATTATATATTTGTATAATATATAATATGATCTCAAACTAAATAATTATGTTTTTGGTATAAAATTGAATAAACTGAAAACTGATGGTATATAAACCAAATCAAACTGAAGTACATATAGATTTAGAGTAGTAGTTATATTTTAATGATCGAAATACCAAAAAATCGAGCCGGACCGAAACCCGATATCCGGATTGAACACCTCTAATCCTAATGAAACCGAACTATTGTTTCATTTTTCAGAACATAATAAAAATAATAGTTTCATTCTGCGCAAGGCGCGGGTCTTATCCTAGTATATGGTGATTTCTAAGGATAAACTAAATTCATCATCAAAATTATCTGTTTTAAGAGAGTAACGACACACCAAAAAAAAATGCAGTGAGGCATCCTTGAATCTAATTGAATTGGTGACGGGAGGAAATACTAATAACTAGACATATACAGTATCTATGTATTTTTAGAATCCTTTAGCAAAACTCATAAGTGCACTTTAACGAGGGCTAAAATGAACTAATGCACACCAATCAGCCGTGGAAATAATGTGAGACAAACTTCTTATACAAAAAAGTGAAAGAATGAAATATTTTGAACGTATCAAATATTATTGTTTTAAAAGAAAAAAATATTGTTTCCTTTTTTATATTTGTTCTTGGTTTTTAAAATCTGGTCGACGTTTTGTTTGTAATATCCTTTTGTTTTATCTTCTTTGCGTATAAGCTAAGAATTTTCCTTTTGTCATTTGCTCATCTTGACCACATCTTTGGTCTCACCACCCACTTTACCGGTTTTACTTTTTCTTTAACTTTCCCTTTTTAATATCATTTAGCTTTCTTTTCTTTTTTTTTCTTAGTAATGGTTTCACGATTTGAGTCGGCAAAAAAAAATGCTTTAACGATTTGAAATTTTGTATTTTCGAAAAAAGCCGAAAATTAATATCATCTGTCATAGGAAATCAAATTTATGGTTATTTTTTTTAAACAAACTATTGGACAGACAACATGTTAGTTACGATGTCACCCTTGTGTAAATCAAAATTAGCACATTCACACGAGATATAGCGAGGGCAATTTGGTCATATAGACGTGGCCTCCTCCCCGCGTAGATATAGTATTCCATTTCCCTTTCCCCACTGAATCTGAAAGACCCTCCCAAAGATGGAAAGAACGCTCCTCGTGACCTTTTCTGTGTTACTCTTCGCTTCTGTGGCGGCAGATGATTACGTCCGACCAAAACCTCGTCAAGCCTTACAGTTCCCATGGAAACAAAAGTCTTCTTCTCAACCTGAGCAGGTAACTTATAGGCTTCCCCTAGGGCTAGTTCCTCTGTTTTGCTCTTCTTCGTCTGATCTGATCCATTTCTGTGAAACCCATGTTTCTTTTGGTTATATCTCTGTCTATTCTTGTACTGCATGTGGGTCTACGTTTGTTTCTCTCCGCAAAATCCGATTATTTTCGGTTAATAATACTCTTACTCTAGAGATAACCCCATTTGCTCATGTCCTGCTTAGTCTGTGTTGAATCTTGACTACTTTGTTGCAGCTTGTCATCTTAATGAAAAAATTCCTTATTGATTTCTTATAACAGTTGAGATGCATTCTTTATAACGTGAGACAAAACTGTTGTCTGAGATCAGTAAAGCGGTGATACAACTCATAGTGAACATTATAGACTCTGTTTTTTTAGATGTCATGTTTCTTATACTGACATAGGATTTATACTTGCAGGTGCATATCTCATTGGCTGGAGATAAACATATGCGAGTGAGTTGGGTCACCAACGACAAATCTTCTCCTTCCTTTGTTGAATACGGAACATCGCCAGGGAAATACTCTTTTCTTGGCCAAGGAGAGAGCACCTCTTACAGCTACATATTCTACAGATCCGGGAAGATACACCATGCCGTCATCGGACCATTGGAACCAGACACTGTTTACTATTATCGTTGCGGTGGAGGAGGACCTGAATTTCATCTGAAAACACCACCAGCTCAGTTCCCTATTACTTTCGCAGTGGCTGGTGATCTTGGTCAAACCGGTTGGACCAAGTCGACGCTAGATCATATCGATCAATGCAAATACGAAGTACACCTGCTTCCCGGTGATCTTTCTTATGCTGACTATATGCAGCACAAGTGGGACACGTTTGGAGAGCTTGTTCAGCCTCTGGCGAGTGTAAGGCCCTGGATGGTGACTCAAGGAAACCATGAAAAAGAGAATATTCCGGTTGTGGTGGATGAGTTTGTGTCTTATAACTCCAGGTGGAAGATGCCGTATGCGGAGAGTGGATCAAATTCAAATCTTTATTACTCTTTTGAGGTTGCTGGTGTCCATGTGATCATGCTTGGCTCATACACTGATTACGATCGGTACTCAGATCAATACAATTGGTTAAAGGTGAGGATTTTTACTCATCAGCCATTTGTTATCTGTATCTTTCTTTATTGGTACATTAGGTGGAAGTAGTTAGTAAAATAGTACTAATCAAACTGTTTTGTCATTGTAGTTTCTTAGGTTCTCTGATGTTCATGCTTTCTTGGGTTAATAAGTACTGTCAGCAGTTGTTACATCGCTTTCTCTAAATTTTTTTGTTGTCTATTATATGTTTAGGGTGATTTGTCAAAGGTTGACCGAGAGAGGACTCCGTGGCTAATAGCCTTGTTCCATATACCATGGTATAACAGTAACGATGCTCATCAGAATGAAGGTGATGGAATGATGGCTGAAATGGAGCCTTTGCTTTATGCAAGCGGTGTTGATATTGTATTTACTGGTCATGTCCATGCATATGAACGCACGGTATGTGTCTAACAGAAAAAAAACATGTGAGCTTGTTTTCTTGGTTCCTATGATATTAATTGGGATTTTGTGCTGCTTTGACAGAAACGTGTCAACAATGGTAAATCAGATCCATGTGGTCCTGTACACATAACCATAGGAGATGGAGGAAACAGAGAAGGACTAGCTCGAAAGTAATACCTTAAAGGCTCAGACTGATTACTTCTGTTTTTATATCAAACTTATTTTTCTATGTTATAAGTAAATTCCTTTTAAAAAATGCTGATGTGTCCATGCTAACCTGCTTCATCTTAGTTGTCTGAATTTTGTTGAGCTAATTCAACATATTATCTACCGGGACCTAATCATACTTTTGAGAGTCCTTGTCCTATGATGAAAGTAGGTGATACTGATCTTAGTGTACCATGTGTTTTTTTGCTTTCAGGTACAAAGATCCGTCGCCAGAGTGGTCAGTCTTTAGGGAAGCAAGCTTTGGACATGGGGAACTTCAGATGGTGAATGCAACCCATGCGCATTGGACTTGGCATAGGAACGATGACGATGAGCCAACAAAATCTGATGAGGTTTGGTTAACCTCCCTTGTGAACTCAGGATGTTGGACAGAGAAGAAATGGAATGAATACCTCAGGAAAATACTCATGGAACCTTGATGATGATATCCCATTAAGTGAGATTTGCAGTAATGTATTCCGAAGTATATATGTAAAGCTACAATGTTGTAATGTTAGCAGTAGGTGTGTTAGACTGTTGACCACACCATAGTAGAAGACTTTCACAAGCTGCATAGAATTCGTAGTTCCAACTTTGAGCTTGTACTCTGTTATGATGTGTTTTGTGTTGTATTGTTATATCACATGAATTGCATACTATATTTTACTTAATGTGTTTATATTGAATGTTCTTCTCCGAAACGTTCTTAATGTCATGCTGACGACAACCAACAAAATGAAAGTCTAGAAGTACAAGTAACTTATTTTTTTGATAAAAATGGTACAAGTACTTGACTTGGTTTTGCCAGTGTAGACAACATGGTCTCAATGACTGTCGTTTTACTTTTCAAGATTCAAAACCACCTTAGAAGCTAATATGTAAGAAAAAAAGACGGATTGTTGTTGTGTGTTTCAGATTATTAAAGTTTGTAATAAATTTTAATCTTAAAATAACAATAATTAATAAAACGATTTCTAAGAGTTTTTATTTTTTGATAAAAGAACGATTTCTAAGAGTTCTAGAGGTCTTACAGATAAAAAAAAAAAGCTTTAGAAGCACAATTCACAAATCGTATGTCAATGACTGTGTAAATGGTTTCAACGATTAAAACCTTTCATTTTTGACATTGACATTATATTAACGTAAATGCTAAAAAGCTTAAAACATTCTTCCATCAAATTAATTTTCAAATCTAAATTATTAATTAGATAAATAATGGGCCGTTAAGTGGGTTTAGTTGTCTCAAAACGATGGTTGACTAAACAAAGACGGACTTGTTCCACGCGCTCACCACTCACACCAAAACTCATTATAAAAATTCATTTTTTTAACTTTTCACTTACAAAACATTGTCTTCATCCCCCAGTTTCTTCTCAAACTTTCCCGGAAAAACAGGAATTTCACAAAACCCATCTCGAGAAAAATGCATGATTTCTGCTTCACAATCCCGTACGGGATGCTTCTAATCGGCGGTGGATTCATAGGATACATGAAGAAAGGAAGTATCACATCTTTCGCCGGAGGAGCAGTCGCTGGTTTACTTCTCATCCTCGCTGGATATCTCAGTCTCAAAGCTTTCGAGAAGAAGAATAATTCTTACATAGCTGTTGTTCTCCAGACAGGTCTTGTTTTTTAATTTACCCTTTTGTTTTAAGTCTTTCTTCAGGTTTAAGATGTCTTTTATGTTTAGAAAGATTTCGACTTTGGTTCTGTTATGTTATAGAGATGACTTTCTGTTTTAAAGACATGAATAGCTTTTTACTGACGTGTCAATTGAGTAAAGGAATGTTCTTTTGATGGATCAAGAACTTGGGGTTTAGTTATAGACTCTATAGTTATGTTGTAAAGTTTCCGGATCTTAATTAGAATACTAACGATCTGGATCTGATAAAAAAAAAAATTAATCTGATGATCTGATTCGTGTTATGATGATATAATCAAAGATGAAATAGCCAACGTTTTGTTGTGTTTAGATCTTTAGTTGTAGAAATATTAGAATTGGTTTGCTAGTTTCTTGCTGCTAACATATTAGTAGTGTCTCCTTTAATAAAAAAAAAAAGAGATGGGTTTTCATTGTCAACTGCATCTAATCCAAGGGTGTTTTCATATTTGAGTTGTAAGATGTTGAGTAGTTGTGGTTGAGTAGGTTCTTGATTTTAACTAGTGTTCTTTCCAACCTCCAGGACCATTTCAAACAAGATCACAATCTGTTTTAATTTTGCTTTTTAAGCATCATCTGGTTGTTGTTTTTTGATACAGTTATCTCAGCTGCTCTCACACTAGTCATGGGACAACGTTATTTTCTCACTCAAAAGGTTATGCCGGCTGGTCTAGTTGCTGGCATCAGGTAAACATTTCCTTTGTGAAATATCTGGTTTGTATATTTATCTTTGTTTTGCATCATTCAATATTTTGAGTTTCTATTCCATTAACTTATATAACATTAGAGAACCATATCTGTATTGCAGTGCTCTCATGACCTGTTTTTACGTATACAAGATCGCTACTGGTGGCAATAAAATCCCATCAAAATCTGAATGATGGTGTTATGCAACTCTGTTTTTTTTTTCCTCGTGGATGCAGAATTGCAGATGATATACCCTCCTTTGTTGATTAGACATATGTTTTGTATTTTTTTTTGTAGAATTTCATATAGTCATGTGTGTTTCTGAGAATAGTTTCTTGTAATCATATTTTTGTTTACTACAAATTGTTTTGAGTCATATTATATATCAAGATATCTGACGTTTTGTTAACACATTCTTGGTCTTGAGCAACTTGTATGAAATTTGATCTTCAAACTTTGTATTTTTGTGAAGGGCAAATCTTGAACGTTAGCTGACCTATTTCTAAAAGCATAACCGTCCATAAATGGAGGTAAACACAGTTTTAGAAATTGGGCGTCACTCAAGCTAGAAATGTTATGGAGACCCAATGAGATATGTGGAGATAAATTCTCATGCTAGCTAAGGTCTCCAGCTAAGATAAATTTTGATTCTATTTTCCACAAACGACATTAGTCTTCAACAAAGATAGAATAAAGTTGCAGCAAGTGTGCTGCAGAATAAGATTTTACGTATTGAGGCTGAAAATTCCCATTTTAAGGAAGTGGTAGTTTGTGTAACTTATTGCTAAACAGCTCATAAGTACAATTATTCACTCCTTCAGCAAGAGAAGTTTTAAAAAGAAAACACTGAGAAAAATCTCCAGTAACCATGGCGTCCTTTAGGATGGTTTTTCTGATTTTGATCATCTTTTTCATTTTACAAACTGCTTCATCAAGTTCTTGGAAGACATTGAATGGTCAGTGACAGCTTCTTTCACTTTTCTAACACATGTCTTCTTTATGAATTTTTTACACGTTGTTTTTGTGTTTTGTTTTAGCAGGGAAGCCTCCTGTTGTGATTGCCCGAGGAGGCTTCTCTGGTTTGCTTCCTGATTCAAGTGATAGTGCATATGGGATGGTGAACTTGACAACTGCTCCAGATGTAACACTATGGTGTGACCTTCAGCTAACAAAGGACAATGCTGGAATCTGCTTCCCAAATCTGAACTTTGACAACGGTTCTAACGTCAAAAACGTTTACCCAAATCACAAAGAATGGCGTTCTGTTGATTTCACATGGAAGGAACTCTCTACTGTGACTTGTAAGTGGTTCTTTTAAGTATTCTGTTTCTTTGAACCCTCTTCTTGTCAGTAAAGGTTATGTTGTTCAACAACTCTGTAACTGTTTCAGTTTTATCTGATTTTGTTCTCATTTCCTCTACAGTGAAACAGGATGTTTTCTCAAGACCAAACATCTTCGATGGTGTTTCCAACATATTGCCTATTGAAGAAGTAGCAAAAATAGGAACTTCTGGCCTTTGGTTAAACATTCAGGTAAAAATGTAAGCACTCTTTTATATACTAAGATCATTACTAAATCTTCTCCTTGTTACTGTTCTTACAGCACAGTGATTTCTACACGCAACACAACTTGAGTATGAGAAACTATGTTGTCTCTCTATCAAGCCGCATGAAAATAAACTTCATATCTTCTCCAGAGATAAGTTTCCTAAAGAGCATGAAAAAAGATGCCAAACCAACTAAGACAAAGCTCATCTTCAGGTTTCTGAATCAAGACCAGATAGATCCTTTCACCAACCAATCTTACGCCTCTCTTGCCAAAAACCTAAGCTATATAAAAAAATTTGCATCTGGCATTCTTGTTCCAAAATTTTACATATGGCCAATAAGTTCAGATCTTTACCTGCAACCCCACACGTCGCTTGTCACAGATGCTCATAGACAAGGCTTACAAGTATTTGCCTCAGACTTTGCCAATGACTTCGTAGTTGCTTATAACTACAGCTATGATCCAACAACTGAGTATTTACATTTCATTGACAATGGAAACTTCTCTGTTGATGGTTTCTTATCAGACTTCCCTCTGACTCCATACAGAGCTATCAGTAAGTAAACGAAAACTCTTATTTTTAAATTTTTCTCTTCCCATTTCATACTAAGTAACCAACACTCTTGTTTTGTTTCCACAGATTGCTTCTCTCAGTTGGACAAGAAAAAAGCCAAAAAGCAAGGTAAATGCATGGATGAAAGTGAAACTATAATATATAAATGAACTTTCTGTATATCTTAGTTCAGTTCTGACCCATTTTGATATTGCAGGCAATGTAACTATTATTTCCAAGAACGGAGCGAGTGGAGATTTCACAGACTGTACTGACTTGGCATATGAGAAAGCTGTGAGAGATGGCGTTGACATTATTGACTGCACTGTCCAGGTGTCCAAGGACAAGATCCCATTTTGCATGAGCTCCATAGATCTTATGAACGTCACTAATGTCTTTGACACAAGCTTCAGAAACCTGTCGTCAACAGCTTCAGAGATTAAGGAGACAAATCACAGAAGTGGTATCTTCACTTTCAGTCTGACCATGTCTCAGATACAAACCTTGAAGCGTAAGAAAGAAACTACAAAAACTAAAAAAATGAAAACTCAATACATGCAACTAATATGTCTTCCTTTCATTTGCAGCTGTCATTTCTAATCCTCATAGAGAGCAGAATTTGTTCAGAAACCCAAGAAACAATAACCTTGGAAAGTTTCTTACATTATCCGAGTTCTTGTTACTTCCAAACCGTTACAGCTCTCTCTCAGGGATCTTGATAAAAGTGGAGGTTAGACTTCTGTTGTCTGAATAATGACCAACACATGGTTCTTGTATCTTGATATTAGCATTCTCTGTTTCTTTAGCATGCAGCTTATCTAGCAACACATCAAGGAATCAGCATAGTCGATGCTGTACTAGATGAACTGAAGAGAGCTACTAGTAAAATACTGATCCAGTCTACTGAGAAGTCTGTCTTGATGGAGTTCAAGGAGAAGGGGAAGATGAGTAACGAAGAGCTGGTCTATGTAGTAGATGAAGACATCAATGATGTCACAGATTCAGCAGTCAAGGACATCAAGAGTTTTGCTGGCTCCGTTGTAATCAGTAAGAAGTCAGTTGTTCCCTACCACGAGGAAATTGTCAGGATTCAAAACGAGACAAATGTTGTTCCAAAGCTGAGATCAAGTGGTCTTCGTGTCTACGTTGAGACATTCAGCAACGAGTTTGTAACCCAACCGTTTGACTTCTTCTCTGATCCAACGGTGGAGATAGATTACTTTGTCCGAGGATATCCTGAGGTTGATGGCATCATCACTGACTTCCCAGCGACCACTGCAAGATACATAAGTAAGAAAAAAAGTCTCCTCTTGACTATCTTTGCTTCTTTAAGTTTTTCTTGAGACAATCTGAAGTAAATGTATGATTGCAGAGAACCAATGCTACAGACAAATGGGTATGATTAGAACCGGTGAGCTCGTCCCTTTGGCTAATAAAGAGATTCTTCCACCAGCTGAAGTTCCATATCCATCACTAGTTGACTCAAATGTCGCGGAACCACCTCTGCCTGAAGTTAGAAGCCAGCCTCCTCCTGCTTCTGCTCCAACAAAGGCAAAGTCAAAGGCACAAGAAGTACAAGTTTCCTTTAATGTTAGAACCATGTTGGTTCTTGTGAGCTTCTTTGTCATAGTTTAGTTTGTAAGTGCTTGTAACTGGCTTCAACTGCAGTATGTGGTAATAAATCTATGAAGCACAATGTTTAAAGTAGTATGTCATTCTTCTTTTAAGATTGCTATAAGATATCTGAAATTTCAATTATAGAAGAGGATATTAATTGGAATATGGAAATGGATAAACTAAAACCCAACAAAACTAAATGTAGATTATCTGATCACAGTTCTGTTCCAATGGATTCTCACCAACCACTAACCATCATTTGATTTCAAGGAAATATAACAAAAAAATTAATCATAGCAAAATCAATATCTCATTTGTGTTGTTCCTTCTTCTTTTGAGGCCAAAAGAGACTAGATTCATCTTTTGGTTTCTTCAAAGGCCAACCTTATGTTCTCAGCAAACCCTTTTGACATCTTACAACAAAAGAAATATTGAAATATTGTTCGTCTGAGAATTATCTCGATCCATTTTGGACTCGAGGTTCAAGAACATCCATGAACTTCGAGTATCAATCATCTTTTTGAAGTAAAAAATCCAAGATGATACATATAAACACATACATTACAAGATGAAAATGAATTACTTGCTCTGTTGTATGTTCAAGAGACGATTTACCAGTAGATCATCATCGAGACAAAGCATCAAAGACAACACTGATGCAAATACGCAACTTTCTAGATTTGACATCATCTCTTTTAAAACAGGTCTTATTTACGTTATCAAATTTTTTAAACGTTTTTCTATCTAAAAGAAGTTGACATATAGAACTGCAAATAGCAGTAGGAGAAGATACATATCCAAGGAGATAGCAAAACTTGGGAGAGGGAACATCAGTGCTCAGATCTTTACATTCAGAGAGCTCTGTGTTGCCACCAAGAACTTTAACCCTGAGAATCAGCTCGGTGAGGGCGGTTTTGGAAGGGTTTACAAAGGGCACATAGAAACCAATTGGTTGTAAGTGAATTGACTAATTTATCTTATATACTAATTAATGTTCCGTCCAAGTACCGATGTGGGAGATATAAGTCTGTAATAATATTCTTGCTAAGAGGTTTGATTCTGATTCTTTGGATTACTCATGTTGTTGCAGTTAAGCAGCTAGATAGGAATGGCTACCAAGGGAACAGAGAGTTCCTTGTTGAAGTCATGATGTTAAGTCTCTTACATCATCAAAACAGATAACAACAAAAGAGAAAAAAATCTCAGCAAAAGTTCCTTAATCTCCTAATTATCTATAATTTAAGGGAAAATTGCAAAAAAAAAAGTGACACTCACTAGCACTTTAAACCTTGAATTTATTAAACTAGCATATTAAACATTCAACGTAGTTTTTATATCATAAAAATTATTCAACTTGGCTTACTTATTCATCCATTCAAAACTATGATCTAGTAATCTGTAATATTAGGTGACGTATTTTTATTTAGTTAATACAAATAAAAATAAATAGCAATAAGAAACATATATAAAAATTAGAATGTTAGAGAAAACAATTCTAATATTGCATTTAATAAAAATTAAAATATTTTCTTAAAATTTTAATTTTTTTTTAAATGCAGGTTTTGAACAAAAAAGAATATAGTCTTTCAAAAAAATCATATAAAAGTTATAAAATATTCTCAAAAAAATAAATAATTTTTAACATTATCATTATTAACATGAACACTCTTCGTCATATCATAATTAAGAGTAACATTTTTTGTTATATCGATAATGACAATAGTATCAAAATATTTTTTCTAAATTTTAATTTTCTTAGAATGCAAGTTTCACAAAAAAAAAATATAGTTTTAAAAAAAACATATAAAAGTTATAAATTATTTCATAAAAATTAACAAATTTTAAACATTATCATCATTAACATGAACACTCTTCGTCATATTATAATTAAGAGTAACATTTTTGGTTATATAGATAATGGCAATAGTATCAAAAATCATTGTTATCCGTGTAATAGAAATTATCATCGTTCAAAGATGCTAACATATCAAAATTAAATGCTTTAAAACTTACAAAATGTTATTATTAGTGGTGATATGACAAAAAGTCTTACTTTTAATGGTGGTATATCAAATTATTTATTTTTAAATAACATGTTAGAGATTTATATAATTTTTTAAAAATTAAAAATATCTATTTTCACAAAAATCAATTTAAAATAAAAATAAAAAACAAATTTTAATTTACAAGAAAATAGATGATTTTTTTTAAAAAAATTGATTTTTGAATTTTTCAATATTTAAAAGGCTCTTTTGTTTTACACAAATTGCTTTTTCTTAAATTAAAATTTTAAGAATATTTTTGATTTTAATTAAGATCAAGATTTGATTTTTCTGTAATTTTTTTTTATATTTTATATTTTTATTTATTGTTAATTGCATTTGTTATTTAAATAAATAAATAAACCAACACATCACCTACTATTACAGGTTACCCGGTCACATTTTGACTTGTTGAACAATTAAGCCAAGTTGAAAGTTTTTTATGATACAAAAGCCAAGTTGAATGTTTAACATGCTAACTAAATAAGTTCAAGGTATAAAGTGATAGTGAGTGCCAACTTAAAGGTTTTTAATGCTATTTTCCTTATAATTTAATGATATGTTTTAGGAAATTGAGGCCTTTTTGCTAAGATGTGTTTTTTTGGGTTTCAAGTTTCAGACTTTTCTCTTAATACATTACACAAATTAGGAAGTGGCATTGATATTTTTCATAGATTAGGAACATGTTTTCTAGGTTTTTCAATTCCATTTCATAGATCTTATTGGAGTTTTAAATTTTTGAGTTGGGTTCGGCTAGTAATACTCTGAATTTAAATACACTATACAACTCTGTTTAAGAATCATTTTATTCAGATTTATTTTGGATTCAGTTACTTTTGGTTCGAATACTCATTCTTTTAGATATTATAGAAAAATAAACATAGAACTAGAATTTTTAGTTAGATATTTATATAAATTTGAATAATTCTTTCGAAACGGTTTTGGATACTAATTTGGATTCTAGGATTGAATCTTACAGTGGTGTTCGGATTAGTGAATATTTGTAATAACATTTTCGATGAATATATATATATATATATATATATATATATATATATATTGTTAAAGTGTATAAATATCATTAACAAAAAAAAATCATTATTTGAATGAAGGTTTGGTGTGGAAGCACTCTATCCTAATTGTTAAGGTGAAGGCTTCCACAACTATGTTTGAGATTCGAATCCAGACTATGAAATTTCTTGCATATTGCACATTATAGGAGATTCGGGTTTTAATTCCTAGAGAAAGCGATTTATTAAACAACTAGATTTTGACCCGCGCTTTTCAAGCGCGGAATTTTTTTATGATTAAAAATTTATATGATTGGGTTTTGTCTTAATTTAAAGAATATTTTGGTATAAAATCAGTTCACCAAAATATGTGGTGATTATTGTTTTTCATTAGTTTTTAGTTTCAGTTTTTATTTTTAGATTTTGTTTTAGATTTAGATTTTTGGTTTTTAGTTTTTAAGTTTCTATTTTTTATTTTCAGCTTTTGGTTTGGGTTTTTTAATTTTTAGACCCGCTGAGTTAGTTTGAACTGATATTACCAACAAACAAATCTCAAATAACCAAACATCTAATTTAAAACTGAAAAGATGAAAAAAAATTAAAAAAAAAATTGTAATAGTTTGTTTTGTAAATAAACAAAAGCAAAAAATATAACCTGCGTTTTCAGCTTTTGGTTTTGGATTTTAGTTTTTAGATTTGGTTTTTTTGTTTTGCTTTACATTTTTTTTTTAAATCAATAAATTATTTCAGAAAAATAAAACAATAAATTATTTAAAAGTTACCATTGAAATTTATCAAAACAAAGCGATTGTTATTTAAAATAAAAAAATACATTAACATGTTTTAAAGTACATGATTTAAATAAATAATTAATAATAGACCATTTTGTTTTGGTAAAAATATTAAATACCTTTTGTGTCTGAAAATAATAATTGATTTTTGATCCATTAAAATAGAAAGTTTATTCAATGTTTTTGGAGTTTTTCGTTAATACTAAGCCCAAAAACTAAACCATATAATTTGTTCTAGAACAAAAGTAATCCCAAGATTATATCCCATAAATAACCACCGGTTTAATTTAAGTAATGCTGTTTAATTAACTATATGGCTTGTATTATTTGTATCACTCTAGCAAAAATCCAAATTTAAATGACAACTTGTATCAGTAGATAAAAAAAATATTCTATTTTAATAGAATAGATTATGCAGACTACATAAGAAGGGTTTAGAAGGGATTTTCAACATGGTAGCAAGTGTAGCTGCGACGTGACTGAACTTTTGTCTATTTGACTTCATAGTTTGTCATCTTTTGTTGAATACTTTCAACTACTGTAAATCACGGTTTGTCATCTTTTTATCTTTAAGTCTGAAGTAGTTTTCTTTTCCATTTGTCTTACTGTAGAAACTTTTTGAATCAACTTGAAAAATCTGATTTTTTTTTTTTTGCATGTGGAATTAGTTATTTAGAAATCTGAGAAGTCTTTATTCCTAGTTTATTTTCAAATCATATTTGGTAGTCTAGTAAAATGATATAGATTTTGTGAAATATGCACATTGTGTACCTTGTGATGTACATAGTATACTATTTTAAAAGCGTAAATAGAATAGACTATGTATTTTGTAAGTATAATGTATTTGCATGTTTCTATACATTTCATTACAGCTTATTTAGTTTTCCATTCTATATCTATTCTATCATATGTTCTATTTCTTATATACATTTCAAAACGAATACTAACACCTTTAATTTTCTTCTTTTATGTCTCAGATTTGTAAAGAAGATTCATGGTTATTTCCCACCGGTTGTTTCTTCGCTGCCACCGTCCTTTCCTTTTTTGGTTTGCCATCCATAGTCTACTTAACTTTTCTAAATGTTGCAATATACTATGTGTGTTGTCCTATTATATTTCTCAACCGTAGAAGAAACTTTTGATTTTAAAATGAATAAACATGAATTATGTATTATTTTATATCGTTAATATGAATGTTAGTTTATGCATACTGGTCAAAATTAAGCATTTACAAACTTTAAATTGTTATTTTAACCGCACCCATACAAGTGTAGAATTCATACAAAATTCTCTAATTCTCTTTATAATAATCATATGTTACTTTAAAAATATAATATTACAACTTATGAAAATAGTATTTCATGATAGTCTTTTTATTAGAAAATTTATTTGACAGATTCATTTTTAGCACTTTTTAATTAACAAGTCTATTCTATTTCATTTTATGTAGTATAGTTTAATATTACAAAATATTACTACTTTAAAATTTTTAATTTTATTTAAAATATTATAAATATATACTTTAGTTTATAATTGAATTTGGGTTTAGTGAATAGGATTTAAGGTTTATTATTTAGGGGTTAGGGTTTGATTTAGTATTTAAAGTGTGGGGTTGGGTTTAGTATTTAGGGATTGTGGGTGGATTAGAATCATATTACTATTTGTCATAGTGTGAGATGGAATATTATTCGGATTTTATGTTTGTTCATCATTTTCCAACATATCATAATTTTTATTTTTTCGAACAATGATTTCAAGTAGCACAGAGAACGCATTGAAAAACATTTAAATAACCATTCTGATCTCAGCATTATCCAATGTCCTACAAAAATTCACAAACATACATTAAATATACCATACTATTAAACATTTTTTATTTTATACAGTATGTTGATGTGAATTTCATTGAGTCACATGTATTTACATGTCTGTAACTTCTATCCACAAAAATAACCAACAACATGATTCACTCTTTCCATCTTTAACCGGTTACTTGCAAAGGTTAAGGGTAAGGGTGGGAATTCGGATATCCCTTCGAGTTCATATCGAGTATTTTGGACTTTTTGGTATTTTGATATTGGGATCTAGTACCCTTTCGGCTACTTTTACATATCGGGTCGGTTCGGATATTTTTAATTCGGGTTTGTTCATTTTGGATTGGGTTTTGGGTTAGATTTTGAAAGAAAAATTAAAGTTCTTCATTGTTCAAGTTTCATGTATTTAAAAATTTATTATTAACTTAAGTATTTTTAAAATTTTAAATATGCTAGACGATTAATAAGGTTGAGAATAATTTATTGAAAATATAAAATCATTAATTTGGTTGTTATTTTTAAAATTTGGATGGATTTTTTCTTAAACATAAATAAGAAGTTTAACATCTATCTTATTAAAAGAGAAGTCACAACCTCTTCTTATATGTATTTTTTTTTAAAAATTGACTATTCCTAGAAAGTCATTAATCAAAAACATTAATTTATGTCTCATTATAAATATAAACCGCGAATCTTCTCATATTAATCTAAATAATATTTTCCCCTTATATAGCTAACTGTATTTAAATAATTCACTAAACCGTAATTAAATTCTGACCAAATCGGTTCAGATTAATAATGGGAAAATTTACCTTATTCTTATGTGTTAAACAATTCACAAAAACCAAATGTTGATCGTTATAAACATATATTACCATATAAACTTCGGGAATAAATTACTATATTCTTATAAGATATCCAATTGGATTATATTTGTGTTTTAGTATTATTACATTATTCATACTTACATAAACCATACAAAAGTTTTTCTTAAAAAGTGTCATTTGTAATATTTTTTTACACCGTTAGAAATGGTTAAAATATATTTAAATTTTTATTAATTACACATATTTTACCAATAGTAATTGAGATAAATATAATTATTTATAATATCAATGTACTTTGCAAATACTTTTATATTGAAAATAAGTATTATTTACATTAAAATTCTAAAGTGATACTTTATTATGAAATTTATTATAAAACAGATGGACTAATTTCATTTTATATACATCAAAATCCGATATTATTAATATGATTTACAAACAATTAGAAAACAATAACAACCACAAATTTTGAAACAAAAAACTAAAAAATACCTGCACGGTTGTGCGTAGGCCTGGGCGTTCGGGTTCAGATCGGGTACTTCGATATAGAGGTATACAATCCGTTCGGGTATTTTCTTATTTCGGGTCGGGTTTGGGTTTTCTCACTTCAGGTTCAGATAATTTTGGATATATCCGAACTCCAAACATTAAAAAAAAAAATTTGAAATGCATGTTCTGTTTATCTTCGAATCATTCCTAATAATATAAATAGTGTAAAAGCACATGAAATGGGAACAAAACAACATTAATCCATCCAAAAAAATCGAGAAAACATCAACAAAGTTCTTAGATTAAGCAAACAAGCTAAACGAGTTTCGACTTCCAAACATAGATGATGATACAAACCAAAAAGCTTCCTTGTATCTTTCACACTGTAAGTTAATTTTTTTTGTCAAGTTATAAAAGTGAACAATAAGCACAAATAGTAACAAATTTATGTAATCTTTATAATACCTTCAAACCCGAGCTTAGTCCTTTTATTCATCCTAATGTGTAGCAGGTTCATACTCTCTGCAAAATTTTATTAAAAAATAAACTGTTAAAAACTTATACATCAAGGAAAATCAAAGCACAAAGTAGTGAAATTACTAACTTCTCTGAAGCTTATTTTCTTCTTCAACTTCTGCAAGTATTTGAGCATTTGTTAGAATCTTTGAATCAAGTTTAATGCCTTGTTTCAGTCACTACTTTGTACACATCAAAACTTCCACCATATAGTGAGTCAAACAACTCCTATATGGCTCTATTATCCTGCCACAAGTGTTGAATGCACTTTCAGATGCAATTGATGAAACTTGCATAGCAAATATATCTCGAGCAATCTGCGAAATAATTGGATACTTGCCGCTTTTGATTTTCCACCATGAAAGCACATCATATTATGTTCCCAACATCATGTTAGGTACCTCAACATCAGCTTTAAAATAAGCATCTAACTCGTTTAAGTTTCTCACTTTGATCTCTTTTAACATATTTTTGTACCTCCTCTCTATTCTATTATAACCAATTTCATCTTCAACAATGTTTGTTGACTGCTCTTGAGAAGATTGTGAAGATTGACAAGACGGAGACTGAGACTGAGACGAAGATGCTCCCTTTGTTTCTTCTACTTGCTTACAATTCCTCTCACTATACTCAGTAAAAAAGTCACTCATAATGGTCATAACTGAATCATGGAGGAGCTCCGCCTCTATAGTCTCTTTCATGTAAAGCTCCTCATAACACATCTTTGTAAATTTCATCTTTCTGTGAGGATCAAAGATACTAGCCACCACAAACATTTTATTTATATTATTCAACCCATCCCAACATTTCTAAAACTTCGTATACATCTCTTCAGCTTTGACTTTTAACTGAGTATCATAGCTGCTACAAAGAAGCTTTAAGCTTGATGTGGTGTTAACTATCTCACTATAACACTTGTGGGCATTTAGAGTTGTAGAAGCTGAGACTATTAAGTTGGAGTTGTAGAAAATAATGAGAAATTTTTCTAACCTTTTAACTGTGAACCAATTATCCATGGTAGGAGGTTCCACTCTCTTTTTACTTTTTCAAACCCCATGAAATGATCATTGTACGGTTGTCCTCAAAACCCATCTCATCAAATGAAACCTTAAAATTAAGTGCCCTTTGCAACATCAAATATGTAAAATTCCACATAGCAAAAACATCTTGTGGAAAACTTCCTCTTTTCATTTTACCAGAGTCCACCTTTACTTCAAAAGTTTGCTGCCTAATTGGTCCTGATCTAATATAGGCAATAACATTGCAGATTGCAGCTATACTTTCAAGTACTTCAGCTAATCCTTCATTCACGATCAAATTAATTATGTGACCAGCACACCTCATTTGCATAAGCTCTCCTTTCATGACCAATGCTTCATCCGAGGGAAAGAAACTATGTTCAAAATGCATCAAATTATTGATGTTGGCTGTAACACTCTCGACTTGTGTGGATCAAAATCTAGTGTATTTTAAATGAATAGCAAATCATTTTTTACAATCATATATATATAACATAATATTAAGCTATATACAACATTGATATAAATATTTTAAATAAAATGAAATATACAAACTAGGAATAAAATATGTATATACATATAAGTTCAGTTATCTTCAGATATTCATTCGGGTTCGGTATTATCCATTTGGGTTTAGATATCTAATATCTCCTAACTTAATACCCATTTGGATATTTTGCTACTTCGATTTGGATTTTGATTCAGATATTTGGAGTTGTCTTCGAATACGATTTTGGGTATCAAGTAAGATGGCCACTCCTAATTAAAGATATAATCGGCTTAATTAGGGAATAGGTGTTGGAAACTTAATTATGTCAAAATGATTGTTAGAATTTATTTTCATTTTCAAATTTGGTTATTCAGCAAATTCCTCCCTTTTTGTTCATTTAATTGTAGATTTTAGATGAAAATAATTTAAAACATCCCTAATCATTTATAAACATTTTTATTTATTTATAAACATCCCTAATCATTTATAAACATCCCTAATCATTTATAAACATCCCTAATCATTTATAAACATTTTTATTTAAAACATCCCTAATCATTTATAAACATTTTTATTTATTTGTCTTTTCTTTTTCGGTTCGAATTGTTTCGAATGTCAGACCTAGCACACAAATCGTTAGAACACCACCGTGGAATCAGATTTTAGAATTAAAAATCCAAACTTTCGGGACAAGATGTTCTATTTTGTGTGTGGTAAGTGGAAAATAATGATAATTAATTAAGAAAAGGGTTTAAAGGGTTTGTCATAGAGGTAATGGCGACCAGCTCAGCTCCGTAAAAAACGACAAAATTCGCCACCACTAAACCCTTTTCTTCCTTTTATCCCTTTTCAAGAGAAGACTCAAAGAAAATCCCTTCAAGCTGGGAAGACTATCTTCGCTTACGGCCATGGGGGTCTCTCTCCGCCACTTTTCTCCTTCTTCTTTCTGGCTCTCGCGCCCTCCTCGCGCCTCCTCTTCCTCTTCCCTTCTTCCGTTACTCCTGCCTCGCCGTAGAATCCTTACCAGGTCTTATCTCTTCTCCCTCACGTTTTGTGAAATTTTAACTGAAGGGTTCATTAAAAAACTCATCTTTACCTATTATTACTCAATTGGGTATTTAGTTTCTCACTAAGAATGGTAATGTTAAAGTTTCATACTTTGAATGTAAAAGTCTCTCTTGATGCAACCCTTTTGGTTTTAAGTAGAGGAATGTATCTAAAAGTTAAGAGCTTGATGGTGTTCTCTGTGTGTTGATAATTACCATTCTTTGGTGTTTATGGTTTGCAGAAAAGTAGCTATCACCAATGGAAGTGCTAGATATTGCACTGCTACAGCTTCTGGTGGGTTTCAGCATCCGGGTCGTCAAGGGTCTTCTTCTACTATTGAGTTTAGTGGAGAGTGGAAACTTAGTGTTGGGTCTAAGACTGCCATAATGGTTCCACCAACTGTGTTAAAAACTGGAGCTGTAAGTGCTTGGAGAAAGGGGGAAGTCAATCAGTTTGGAGAAAGAAATGGAGAACAAGCTCAAAGCCAGGTTGATGGTTCTGGTAATTACTTCAGAAGCTTCGTCCCAAAGATAGATGATGTTCAATCTTATGGAAACTATCAGACCTTGGAGCACCAGCTAGAATCCAGAGGTGACGTTACCACTGTTGATAGAGAGTTAAATGGCTTTGCGGAACAGAAGAGTCTAAGAAGACCTCTAGTAGCGTTGCCAAGGAAGAATGTTAAGGCTGGGGAGAGGATAGATGACAAGGATGTGCAGGGAAGACAAAAACCTCTTGTTGCGTCTTTTGACGGTGCAAGAAGTGAGAATACGGTAACCATTTCAAAAGTGGGAAAACGGACAGACTTGTCGAAAGTACGTGCGAACCTTTCAAAAATATATAACAGGGTTCGTGTGGTGGATAATGTGTCTACTGCAAAGGAAATTGTGGCTAAGCTCATAAATCAGTATAGGGATCTCGTCCATGCTTGTGATACAGAGGTATGTGTGGTCACTCGTTTGCTGTTACATTGCCTTGAGATGCTAATGCACTTGACTTATAGACGTGACTCATGGTACTGACTTTTTTCTCTAATTATGGATTTGTTAGGTGTCAAAGATTGATGTGAAGAGTGAAACACCTGTGGACCATGGTGAGCTTATATGCTTCAGTATATACTGTGGATCAGAAGCAAACTTTGGAGATGGAAAATCATGCATATGGGTGGATGTTCTTGGCGAAAATGGCAAGGATGTCTTGGCTGAGTTTAAGCCATTTTTTGAAGACTCATCAATAAAAAAAGTGAGCTTAGCATGTTTAGTTGGAGACACTCACGACTTCTGAATCATGTCTTGTTTTAGTTCGTAATTTCATTGGATGATATATTTTTCTTCTTTTACTTATAGGTATGGCATAACTACAGTTTTGATAACCACATTATAAGAAATTATGGAATCAAGCTCTCTGGTTTTCATGGTGATACAATGCACATGGCACGGTTGTGGGACTCGTCTAGACAGACATCAGGTGGTTATTCTCTGGAAGCACTTACAAGTGACCCAAGAGTTCTTGGTGGAACTGATACAAAGGAGGAATCAGAACTATTTGGTAAAATATCAATGAAGACGATTTTCGGCAAGGGAAAACTGAAAAAAGATGGAACTGAGGGGAAAGTGGTGGTCATTCCACCTGTTGAAGAGCTACAAAGAGATGATCGAGAAGCTTGGATTTCGTACTCTGCGTTGGATTCTATAAGCACACTAAAGCTTTACGAGAGCATGAAGAAACAACTGCAAGCTAAGAAATGGTTCTTTGTTGGAAAGCTAGTTTCAGGAAAGAACATGTTTGATTTCTACCAAGAGTATTGGCAACCTTTTGGTGAACTTCTTGCTAAAATGGAAGCGGAGGGGATGCTAGTAGATAGAGAATATCTTGCACAGATTGAGGTTGTAGCCAAAGGAGAACAGGAAATTGCTGTTTCTAGGTTCAGGAGTTGGGCCTCGAAGCATTGTCCTGATGCAAAGCATATGAATGTTGGCAGTGACACGCAATTGCGACAGCTCTTTTTTGGTGGCATTTCTAACAGGTATGCTTCTTATAAATCTTTATCTGAAGTGCATTGGAAGTTGACATGTGCTATATCACTTTACTACAAGAAAACAAGTGTATTATTTTCTGCGACTAAGTGTTGTTAATTTCTGTTACAGTTGTAATGGTGAGGATCTTCCATATGAAAAGCTTTTCAAAGTTCCCAATGTTGACAACGTGATTGAAGAAGGTAAAAAAAGAGCCACAAAGTTTCGGAATATAAAACTGCATAGGATTAGTGACAGTCCTTTGCCTGCTGAAAAGTTCACCCCCTCAGGCTGGCCTTCTGTTAGTGGAGATACTTTGAAAGCCTTAGCTGGGAAAGTCTCTGCAGCGTATGACTTTACAGAAGTCTCTGCAGATGATAAATCTCAAGAAGAAAGCATCGGAGATGAGGAGTTTATGTCCCTACCAGATGAAGTTTTAGAAACACAAAACTCAAATACATCTGCTGAATCAGACACATCTGCTTTTGGAACAGCATTTGATGCGTTTGGTGGGGGTGAAACTGGAAAAGAGGCTTGCCATGCAATTGCTTCATTGTGTGAAGTTTGCTCCATTGATTCTTTAATATCAAATTTTATTCTTCCTTTGCAGGTATACTTTTTCCTGTTAAAATATTCTTAATTCTTTCCATTAGCTTATCCTTATAGGTTACTTGCTTACTTCCCTGCCTTTTTTTTTTCTGTCTGCAGGGAAGTAATGTATCAGGCAAAGATGGTCGTGTTCACTGCTCCCTGAATATCAACACTGAAACTGGGCGGTTGTCAGCTAGAAGGCCAAATTTGCAGGTACATGGCTTGAACTGGAAACTTAGCTTGAACGAAGAAGATGCAAATCTTAACCTAAAATTTGAAAATGTTGTGCTTATGAAAAGCGACTACATCTTGTACATGGAGTTATAGCACGCATTGTCTTGTGAATTGTGATTGTATCCTAGAATTTATTAGTAAAGTTTTCTGTTCTCGCTGTCTAGAACCAACCTGCTTTGGAGAAAGATCGGTACAAGATCCGTCAGGCCTTCATAGCGTCACCTGGAAATTCCCTTATTGTTGCTGATTATGGGCAGGTGAATAGATATAAGCTCTTAACTTCTACGATGACCAGTACGTTACATTCGCTTGTTAACTCAGGCGATATATTTATCTTCAGCTGGAACTTAGGATTCTGGCACATCTTGCTCGTTGCAAAAGCATGATGGAAGCTTTCGTGGCCGGTGGTGACTTCCACTCAAGAACAGCCATGAATATGTATCCACATATCCGTGAAGCTGTCGAAAATGGTGAAGTGCTCCTTGAATGGCATCCACAACCTGGCCAAGAGAAGCCGCCAGTGCCATTATTGAAGGTAACTTCTTCATGTGAAACAAATAGAGTTTGGAAAGTTAAAATTTAAAGTTGAAGTCTTAACTAAACTTTGTGCTTGATTTAACAAAATGCTTTCTTACTCAGGACGCCTTTGCTTCTGAGAGGAGAAAAGCTAAGATGCTCAACTTTTCGATTGCATATGGGAAGACTGCTATTGGGCTTTCTAGAGACTGGAAGGTATTATTAACTAAGCTCTTGGAGTTTATACAAACATGCTTGATTTCTGATAATAAGTTAACCAAAATCCCATTTCCACACTTCAGGTTTCAGTAGAAGAAGCTCAAGAAACAGTTAATCTCTGGTATAATGATAGACAAGAAGTCCGGAAATGGCAAGAACTACGCAAGAAAGAAGCTATACAAAACGGGTACGTACTGACTTTGTTGGGAAGGGCTCGTAAGTTTCCTACATACCGTTCACGGGCCCAGAAGAACCATATCGAACGAGCAGCAATCAACACTCCTGTTCAGGTCTGTTTGCTCTATCATCAGATCTTTAACAGTCTTCTACTTCCTCGATTCTAAACCCCCCCTTACTACTATTTTTACTACAGGGAAGTGCGGCTGATGTCGCCATGTGCGCTATGCTGGAGATAACAACAAATGAACGTTTGAAGGAGCTTGGTTGGAAGCTGCTTCTACAAGTAAAACACTAGACACAGACTCTTCACATAACCACGTTTAAGCTCATATCTAAATGATTGTTTTGGGTTACTCTTTGGTGGAAACAGGTTCATGATGAAGTAATCTTGGAAGGACCAAGTGAATCCGCCGAGATAGCTAAAGCCATAGTTGTGGACTGCATGTGCAGACCCTTCAACGGCAAGAACATTCTCTCAGTTGATTTATCGGTTGATGCCAAGTGTGCTCAGAACTGGTATGCTGCTAAGTAACACGAATAGAGCAAACTCTTTTCAGCTACTGAAAGCTTAACTACGAGGCGGTGCTCTAGGTTTATTTTTGTTTAGCTCATCAGCTTTGTAAAAAGTATGTTCATATGCAGGAAAAGACAAACACTCTTTTTGCTCACAATGAAATGCTAACTGTATTGAAACAGTTTTGGTAAGTAAATGTTAGGCTTTTTGACAATTGCTCAATCCTTATAGTGTTAAAACTTTGATTCTTGTATGGCGTTTCACAATTACAACGAAGCCTCTGTAGCAAAGAGAGGTTCTCCAAGTTTGTCTAATCCAACGGCGGGAAGTTAACCAATAAGAGAATAAGTGATCTTATCCAGACAGAACAAAAAACATAAAGAGACAAACGAGTGGATGATATTAGTTAGAATCTCAGAAGAAGCTACGAGGCAGTCATGGCTTCCATCTCATCATGCACAGCTCCTTCTGCGAGCTCCTTCTTCTCTACCACCCAACCTATCAACAGCTCTTCTCCTTCCTCAGTGAGACTCTCCTCTTGGTTTCGTGGAACTCAAGTTGTGAAGCTCAGGATCCAACTCGGACCCTCCAATGGGTCAAGAGCCACTTGCTGGTTCAAGTTCGGAAAGAACGGTGTCGATGCTGAGAATGCTGGAATCTATGGCAGCCAATCACGTGATGACTTCGACAGAGACGATGTCGAGCAGGTTTGTCTTCACTTTAGATTCTTGAATCTCTGTTGTCATTAACTCGTTTTGTACAAAGAAGTCTATAAAGATTTAATATGTTCTTGGTGATTTGTAGTATTTCAATTATATGGGGATGCTTGCGGTAGAAGGAACCTATGATAAGATGGAGGCTCTTCTCAACCAAAACATTCATCCTGTAGATATCCTTCTGATGTTAGCAGCCTCAGAAGGAGACAAGCCTAAGATAGAGGAGCTTCTCAGAGCCGGTGCTGACTACACGGTCAAGGACGCTGATGGAAGAACTGCTCTTGACAGAGCCATAAGCGAGGAGATTCGTGATTTGATCCTTGGATCCATATCTCAAAAGGCTTGAAAAAATCTTCACTAGCTTCTTCTTACAGAGAAGGTGATGTTTGTTTTTGGTACCTTTAGTTGGATTGATGTGTTGTTACTTTTAAAGTTTCGGTCCAAAGCCTAAGTGAACTGCAACTTTAAAGTATAGATTGATCCTATTACCAAAAGCCAAACGTTTTTCTCGTGGCAGAAATGTGACTGTCCTGGAGTTGTGTTAAGTTAGCAAATGCTTTGTTTATGTTTCTAACGAAACGTCACCATCTCAGTAGAAGTTATCTGATGAACAGACCCAAGTTGCTCAAGTATCTCTAAGTACCTGATAAAAGTGATCTCGTTACTTGCTGCTTGACTCTGATGTAGTCCATTCAGTAGAATCATCGTGCAATTATAATAACAGAATATGTCAAGACATTGCTAAATGCTAATATACTATCATCTGAATATTAAATTACCAACGACAAGAGTTTTTGAAGTGTTCATAGCTAGAGTGCATCATACAATCTTGAGCATCTCTTTCACAAACCACCACTACATCATGCTTTAATGCATACGTATTTCCTAGAGAAAAGGTAGTTTAAGTGTTGAACATAAAAAGATATGGACCATTACTGTGACAATCCATCCCGTGGCTCACAAGCGCTGCAGCGCACCGAACCCTAACACCTCACCGTGGGAAGAACTGTATCCACATCTACCGGTAGGTTATTGATGCGCTTGGCGTTACTCGAACCCAAAACCTCCACCCTTTAACAACTCTCCACAAGATTAACTTTCACCAACTGATCTGCAGTTCAATTGGTGACAGTTTATCTTGTGGAGAGTAGTTAAAGGGTGGAGATCTTGGGTTCGAGTAACGCCAAGGGCATCAATAACCTACCAGTGGATGTGGAGGTAATTCCTCCCACGGTGAGAGGTTAGGGTCGATGCGCTGCAGCGCTTGTGAGCCACATGATGGGTTGTCACAATTACTTTGACAGGTAGGTCATGTTTAAACTCAATTAGTCTTGAGTTCATCTCCAGTGGATCACTTTATTTTCTTTCTTTAAAATAGAGTTAATTGTACTTCAATGGTACGGGTATGAACAAACAATTTCTTAAAAATATCCCAACTAACTTTTTAATATCAGAATTTCTTTTTGTTATCTAGTTTAATACTCAAACTAATTATTTTGTTCAATTTAATACATTATCATTTAAATTGTTACTCATTTTAATACTTAAACCACAGAAAATTAGTAAGTTTTAAACGAGATTCAAAAAAAAAGCTTAAACTGCAAAATTAAATCCTAAAAATTCCTAAGTTTTAGGAGTAAAAGTACCCAACTTCGGGAAAATCTTACAAAATAAAAAAAATAGTTTTAATTTAAATTTAATTTATTTTCTGAAGTTTAAAATATTTTATTTATATTATTCATAATTAATATATCTAATTTTTAAAACATTATTATAATAATTTATTTTATTCTTAACTTTGTTTTTGAATTTAAAGATTTTTTTAGAAACTTATTAATATTTTTAATTAAAATGAAAATAGTTTGATATTAAAATGAGCACATTTCTAAAAGTAAGTGTATTCAGATGATCAAAATAATTAATTTAAATATTAAATGGGATTGGAAAAGAATTTAAATATTAAAAAATTTAACGCAATTTAGTTGGAGTATTTTTATGGAATATTTTTTTAAAAATGAATTACTCTGTTTTGGAATAAACCCATTTTGTACTATTTTTCAACTCATTTTTTACTCTATTATATAGTCAAAAATATAGTAGAGTTGAAATTCTTTACTCAAAATTTTATTTTGGAGTGAAAAATAAAGTAAAGTTGGAGATTTTATATTCTCAAAAAAAGAGTTAGAGGGGTGGAATTAAGACTCACTAGTAACCATCCTTGAATACATATAGGGAGTGTATTAAATTAGGAATTTGAAAAAAAAAATTAGAGAATTTTAGATTTGGTGGAACTTAGTTGAGTTTAGCTGAAATTCAAGGATTTTGATGAAATTTTGGATGAGGTTTTAGTAGGAATCTTTTTTTGTTTTAATAAAAAATAGATTTAGTAAGATCTTTCTTTAACATCTATTCTATTAAAATAGAGTCATACTTTTTATCTACTGATACAAGTTGTCATTTAAATTTGCACTTTTTCTAGAATGTTACAAATAATACAAGTCATATAGTTAATTGAACCGTATTACTTAAATTAAACCGGTGGTTATTTATAGGATATAGTCTTGGGCTTACTTTTGTTTTTAGAATAAATTATATGATTTGTTTTTTGGGCTTAATATTAATGAAAAACTTCAAAAAACATTGAATAAACTTTCCACCTTAATGGATCAAAAAATCAATTATTTTTCGAGGCCCAAAAGGTATTTAAGATTTTTAACAAAACAAAATTTTCTATTATTAATCATTTATTTAAATCATGTACTTAAAAACATGATAATGTATTTTTTATTTTAAATAACAATCACTTTTTTGATAAATTTCAATGGTAACTTTTAAATAATATATTGTTTTATTTTTCTTAAATAATTTACTGATTTAAAAATATGTAAAGCAAAACCAAAAACTAAATCTAAAAACTAAAATCCAAAACCAAAAGTTGAAAACGCAGGTTATATTTTTTGCTTTTGTTTATTTACAAAATAAACTATTGCAATTTTTTTAAAAAGCTTTTGTCATCTTTTTAGTTTTAAATTAGATGTTCGATTATTTGAGATTTGTTTGTTGGTAATATCAGTTCAAACTAACTCATCTGATCTAAAAATTAAAAACCCAAACCAAAATCTGAAAATCAAAAATAGAAACTTAAAAACTAAAACCCAAAAAATCAAAATCTAAAACAAAATCTAAAAATAAAAATTGAAACTAAAAACTAATGAAAAACAATCATCACCACAAATTTTGGTGAACTGATTTTATACCAAAATATTCTTTAAATTAAGACAAAAACCCAATTATATAAATTTTTAATCATAAAAAATTTCCGCGCTTTTAAGCGCGGGTCAAAATCTAGTATGACATTAAGATAAACTAACAATTGAAACTACATATAAAATATCCGGGTAATTAGAAACAAAATTAGTGTAAATGTTGATACCAAGCAATTGTCTAGCTTTGGCTGGATCGTCAACAACTCCCATCTTAATAAGTTCTTTCTTGAACCATAATAATGTTTCTCGATGAATGGACCATCATGGTTCTAATTCCCACCTTTTATCAAACAAAATACATTCTTTGGGATTGCGGTAACCAGCATGTGTTTTTCAACCACTAGACAGAAACTTTGTCCATAAACTCTTGACTAAGTTTTCTACCATCTTCAAGCAATAACGTGATACACTTAAGAAGAGACGAGCACTTAAGGGAATGATGCCACCTCGATCAGAGAGATTTAAGGAGCTAACCAAATGGTTCATGCCTTGTTTCAGCTCAACCGTTACTCCTAAGCTTTTCAGCTCTTTTTTATTTGTAGCTTGTACGCTCTTTTCTTAACACTCCCACAAAGAAAACAACAAAATAACAAGAGTGTGCTTACTCTATGTAAGCTCAAGGTTTGTGAGCTTGTTCCGGTTAAGATGAGAGTGTGTTACACAGTGCGATGATTGTGTAACACAATGCAATAAGTTTGGTACGTGTAATAACGTGGCGTAAACTTATGGAAATAGAAGACATTGCTTGGGTGCGAAGCAAAGAAGATCTTCTGGTTGGCGATATTTTAGGAAATAGAATATTGTCTTTTTCATGCCTACTTAACGAGGCAACCTAAGTGTGTTTTAGGTTAGGCGTTAAGAGAGAAAAAGCTAGAGCAAGAGAGTTGTTCTTGTCGGCTACAGAGATCGAGAAAACAGGGGTTTGGCTTGGGTTTCTGTAACTTAGAGATTAGAAACTGGTCTGTCGCTAGTCGTGTGTGACTGAGCTTAAATCGGATTAAACAGATCTAGGAAGATTGTTTAAAAGGTTTCTAATATACAAGAAGTGTTCTTGAATAACTTGTGTACGGTTCTTATTTGCGTGTCTCTGAACTTTCATTTGGTATCAGAGCGGGAAACCTCTGTGGTATCAAGTACTACTAACAGGTTGAGATCCTGCGGA